TTTGAACGAGTTCGCGATACAGCATGATCGGACCATGTGAACGGGGGTTTACGGGGGGTTTTATGGGGTAAAAATAGGTTTTTCCCATTTTTGACCCAAAAAACATAAAATTTAGCAATTTCTTTCCAAACCATTTTGTAGAGCTTAAAAAAACAAATAATTGAGTATATTGAAGCGTTATTATGCGCCTAATGGTTACGGAGAAAATTCCAAAAAAATTGTAAATTGAAAAATCCCATGTTATTCTTATGCAGAATAAGTAAACTGTTGTAGTTTGCTTGTTTGTGAACATATTTTGATCAAATTTGGAAAAGTTTTTATTTCTTACTAACTATCTACACATTTAAAAAAAAAAAATCTGTTTTACCCTCCCTGATGCAGCAAACCTAAGTACTTGTTAAACTAATTCTATTTAAATCAAGAATAAATGTTATATTTTTAAGTAGACATTTCAGTGTAAATCCAATCAGTCAAATGGAAATTCGCTTAGTCTGCAGGTTTGCTGCGGTGGGGGTATTTTTTTTTTTTTAGGGAGAGGTGGGAAAATGCATTTATGCACACAGGTGGCTAGCCTGTAGTGTGGGACTCCAACGGGCTTAAGGCTCAGAGACTACCCACTAAAAACCTCCTCTACTCTTCGGACACTAGCCTGGGAACACTTGTTGCACTTCATCAGAACTAGGCCGAGTTTGCCTACGCCCAAGGGGCTTACGCCGTGTCTAGCCGTTTATTTCTTATAAAATCTAGACTGTGATCCGATCTAGATCGTTCTTTTTAGCCTGATGGACATTTCGGACAAAATGCGACCAGCAGTCCCAGTTGTCCTCACCCTTCAGCAAGGTCTCACAAATCGATTCAATTGACAGCACCCCAAGATGTTGAATGGCCTCCTGGCGAAGCATATCCCATCGTGGACAGTGGAAAAAAGTGTGCTCTGCGTCGTCGGGAATGCATGAGCAGTAAATGCAGTCAGGTGAATTCGTTTTGGCCATCAAGTGCAGGTACGACTGAAAATAGCCGTGACCTGACAAGAACTGCGTGAGGTAATAGTCAACCTCACCGTGCCGCCGTTCCACCCACGGTTGGACCTGTCTGATGAGTCTGGCAGTCCAACGTCCTCGAGTCTCCCTTTCCCAGCTTTCTTGCCACACCTGAAAAGTGCGGGAGCGCTCTTCCGTTCTTGCAGCGTCCTTTCCGATGTAGCCTTGTCTCTGGTAGATTGCCTTCCTCTCCGCTGCCAGGAGTTTGACAGGGATAACTCCAGCAATCACCAAAACAGCCGGTTCGGACACCGTAGGGTACGCGGAAGCGACCCTGAGTGCCGCCTGACGCTGCACTCGTGCGAGCCTCAACCTGTACGCCTCCTTGTTAAGCGCGTCTGCCCACACCTCAGAGCCGTAGAGAAGCACAGACTGGACTGCAGACATCAATAGTCTTGTCATCAATAGACACTCCTAGCAGCCTTGTCCGCCGTACGGAAGATCTGGTCCCTCCAGCTCAACTTGTTGTCCACCATGACACCAAGGTACTTGGCGGTTCGCGTGGTTTGGACAACTACGTTCTCAACTCGTAGCAGAACGATGGTTTCAATCCGTTTTTTCGTGAGGTTGACGATCTCTGTCTTGCTCAGAGCGAGGGTCAGACCATGATCAGTCACCCAGGCATTTACAACGTGCATGACTTGGTTCAGTTTCAGTTGGGCTAGCTCGACGTTGCGTGCAGCAAGATGTTTCTGTAATTGAGGAAGATATTTTGGAATTTGCATCTTTGTCTTGTGATTCCAGAAGACAAAGATGATATCAAGATGTTACCTTGAGTTTGGCTTGACTGAAAATGTCAGGCTAGCATACTTATATAATATAATTTTTGTTGTTGTTAGATCTTCATTTTTAATATGCTAGTTTTTAATGTGTTTAGTAGGGTTTTAAGCTTAAATTGGCTAGTTGGAATGTATTATTGCTGCACACATTTTTGTTTTACTTGAAAAACACCCCATTACCTAAAAAATACTTAAAGGAAGGACATAAAGACAGAGGTTGGGGTGGTATAACTAATCCATTCAGAAAATTTGGTAAAAAAATAGTATCGGTATCGAGAATCGATTTTTCAGGTATCGGTATCGATAAATTTTGGTATAGACACATCACTAGTTATCTGATTTTTTGTTATATTCTGTGGCCCTAAGGTCACCAGATTTCAGCGGATATGAATTTTTCCTTTGGGGTTTTCTCAAATTTTGCGTCTACACTCACAAACTCCTTTCCGTGGTGCATCTTACAATTCAACAATTCAAAACGACAAAGAACATTTCTAATCCCACAGTATACTAGATATTTAAATTGTAATTACTTTGGTGTTTGAAAACATATTTTTGGACCATAAATAACTCTTCAGCAGCTGTTTGAAACTATCCAAGATGGCCGCTAGCCTCAGAGGACTCTTAAGAGCCTTATTATCCGAGGCCACTTAAGTGGCTTGCGACCGCGACTGCTCATTGGCTTGGGTATGGCTAAGGGTAGTGACAAGTGTGGCGAGGTTGCGCCAAGTTTTATAGACTTGTATGCAGTTTTTCAGTGTGAATGATAAAGTAGTCAAGTAGTAAAGAAGATGAAGTATTTATTCTACTTTTACTTAAGAGTCGTAAGCGTAGGTGAAACAAAAGTATTGGAATGGAGTCCATCCGTTACTAAAAGAAAGACCTTCAAAAGGAGTATTTTTCACATATTTTTTTTATGATGATCTCAGAGAGTATGACAAGTTTTTTTTTTTTTTATTTGGATGTGATAACTTTTTTTACCTTTTAGAAAAAATAGACGGTGATTTATCTGTATCCCACAAGAATGTGAATAATTTGATCTGTATCCCACAAGAATGTGAATAATTTTATTTCATCTAAGGAGAGGCTGGCACTTACCATAAAGTAAATATAATAGTTTTGACACTAATATAACCATAAATATAATACAATTTTGACAAAAAAATTGTGACTAAGGCAAGGTAGGGAGTGAGCGAGGTGCTGTGGCCCGCAGCTGTGGCGGCACGTAATAAGAAGCATATGAGAACATGGCCCGCTTGTGACATGACAGTCGCTCGGGCTCGCCACCAGTAGAGAGGGTGCGTGACTGGGGTGGCAAGTCATGGTGACTGTCGCGTGCCTCGCCACCGCTGTCACGTCGCTTAATAAGCTCCATCCATATGATAACGTGGCCCGCTAAAAGTAGCCCTTAGGTAGTCGCGGTGGCGAGCCACTCAAGTGGCCGCGCATAATAAGGCTCTTAAGAGTCCTTAGAGGCTAGCGGCCATCTTGGATAATTTCAAACAGCTGCTGAAGAGTTATTTATCGGCCAAAAATATGTTTTCAAACACCAAAGTAATTACAATTTAAATATCTAGTATACTGTGGGATTAGAAATGTTCTTTGTCGTTTTGAATTGTTCTCCAGGGGAGTCCATGGAAGCTAACGGCCATCTTGGTTTTGCCCGCCATAAGAGCGATGTTAATTTCGTAAATTTCAAACAGCCGCTGAAGAGTTTTTTAGAGTGATTGTACTTTAAATATCTAGTATACTTTATACTAGTATACTCTTTGACTCAATTTTTATTCCAATGATAAATTTCCAAACAATATTTGTTGTACATTTTAATAGTACCGGTATATTTTTTATAGTATAAAATTGAAGTATAACTGAGCACCATAATCTATTATATTATTAAAGTGATACAATCAAATTTTATGTAAACGGTTAAGGTCACTTACCAAGTAAAAATATAGGCATATGGCACATCAAAATGAAGCTTAGATTGTGTAGATTTGCCAAAAAGTATTGATATGGACGAATTTCCTAAGGGCTCTGCCCCACAGGCTTATTTCCAAAGGGCTACGCCTGGCATGCTTCCAATGTTTACATGATTTAATTTATTTTAGTTAATGAAACAGCTGGTCATTACAATGAACTGGTGTTTGTTTATTTACTCGAATAAGATGTTTGTGATGCTTTATGTAGATTCAGGAGGGTTATGTTTGGGTTTAAAGTGAGGTTGTATACGTTTTGTAAAGTATTGCTAAAAGTTTAATTTTTAATTTATATTTTAAGCTACATGTGAAGAGGCTTGAATCAAATTGAAGAAAATGGTAAAACTTGCCATTCACAAAGCATCAATATGAAGCAATAATTTATGTTATTGCTACACTAAGGTATGTTGTCATATTCTTAGGGATCTATTAACATCAAAAGTAGAGGTTTGAAAGTAAGTAGTAGGTTTACGCTTTTAAATCAGTTTATATTTTCAAACTAAATCATAGAGTTGCTGTATTTTAAAACACACATCAGCACCACTTTAGCTTTCTAGGTCACATTTTCTTCCCGTTGCAAAGCACGGGTATAGCAGCTTGTTATTATTCTAAAACATGAACACATCTGGTTACATTGCATCATTTTGTAGCCCTAAACACTTTATTCGAAGCAGACAACTACTGACACAGACTAAGGTAGTGTAGCGAGTGACACGGTGAACTAGTGAAGTAAAGTGACAGATCAACAAGTGACTAACATGTCACTTGTGCATCTATCAGCCAATGAGAGCGCTCTAAGGCAGCTCCCCATAAGCTTTGCTGGGATTGAAGCGATCTCCCCTCCATTGGTACAAAATTTACCCCGTCCATTTGTATGGCAAGGCAGGAGCTGTGCAGCTGGTAGGACAGCGCCGAGTGTTTGTGCTTACTGCCGCACTCAAATTGCATGCGCTACAGTTACGCCGACGTATCTTGTTTTGGCGTTTCATGTTAAAATTTACTAATTAATAGACCAATGATATACTGACTAGAAACAGGTGTTATAATTGTTGTTTGTGCTCTATTTCATTGGGGGTTCACGTGTTCATGTGCTCCTATGGACAAGCCGCCACAGTCTCAAAGTAAATAAAAGGTTTCACCACATCATATCTCCTACATCTTCAATGAAAGCAAATCTGTAAATTAAAACGAAAACCAACAATACCAACCTTAACAACACTTTCCAATGTTTTTCCGTAAAGCCGTTCATACTCCTTCTTGATGTTTCCAAGGTCAATTTCACAGCGACTGACGATGATACGGATCAAGGTAGTGTCATTAGTTCCCAATCCTGCCATAGCATTCTGCAGCTGCTTGGCATAAAACGTCAAGGGGTTCTGAACGCATTGAACTGTAACCAAATACTGTACTGTTTATACTGTTCTATGAAATGGCGACCATACAAAGTAGGTATTTTAAGCCAAGTATGAATGGGGATGAGTGTAGGATGAGTGGCGCGATCTTGTAGTCTTGTTAGTGACTAAGGCCGACATTCCTTAGACACAGCTGTTAATTAATAGCCCATACAGCTAATGGCAACTAAGGGACCTACAGTTTATAGTGGAATCCGAACCACATTTTTGCCTTGGTAATTATGAATTGGTCTAATTTTCAGGATAGTACTGCGGATAGTAGTAGTACTCACCCGTGCGGACGTTAATCCACACTGGAGAGTATCGCATCCACAGTGCATGCCTATAAATATCCACAATTTGTGACCTCCTAGTAGCTGGATTACAGGACGACGCCACCCGTCCCAGTCAAATTCAAATTCAAAACTTCTTTATTCTGTAAAATGTAAATTGTTTACAAAGAATATAGTCAGACCTAACCTAAATTATACAAATTATTTTAATTTAATTTTAACATTGGCCTTATGGGTTGCCATGACGGTTACAAAATAATGACGTAAATGTAAACAAAACAAAGAATCATAGCATATGTTAAAATCAAGTTTTGTGTTTCCTGTGCCAGTGTGAACTCTTTACCATTCAGGTAAGCCTGCGATCCTCTCAAAAACCCTTATGATGATAAACAGTTTGAGATATTTTCATCCATATGAAAAGAACATGTTTCAAAAATGTGCCTGTTGAAAAGTTTTTTTTTAACTGGACTTTCTCCGAATACACCTTGTGTATACTTCTGTGCCTGATTCCTTGCCTAACAATAAAATAACCCCGCTGTAGCAAACCTGCCGACTAAGCGAATTTCCATTTGCCTGGATTGATTTTCACAGGGCGATCAACACAAGGAGGGCCCCTATTGGGATATTGAAAATGGTAAGAATTAGAGAAAGTTTATATAGGGGACATTATTTTATTTTTTGTGGCCGTTAAAAATATGAATTTAGTTTTTTTGAAATTCAGCCACTATTTTCCAACATGGTGGCCAACTTTGAAATTTCTTATGGAACACCCTATATATTATCATGTAAAAATTATTTCCGGTGTACGAAAGCGAAGAGTAAATAGGTCTTAAAATTTCATCTACATTCCAAAAAAATACATAAAATACATAAAAAATATTGATATCATTATTTAAAAAAAATGCAACCTTAAAAAGTGGAAAACTGTGTATTTTATGATGTAGATGTAATTTTAAGACTTATTTACTCTTCACATTTTCACTCTAATCTTGTTCAGGAGCTACATGATGCAAAATGTACACCGGAAGTATTTTTTTCTTAAGCTGTAACTCCTAAACGAGTAGCTTTAAGGTACATATTTTTCTTGGACAATGAGGTTATGTAACCTAATTTAAGATGCATCTATTGACCAGGGTTAATCCGCCTCCCGATTGATCCGCCCCCTGATTGATCCGGCCCCAGTCAATTGTGGTTCTACATGTAGTTGGGTTACCCAATCCAGTTTTCTATATTTCAACTATAACAGTCACAAGGTTAAACTTACTGACTGCCATCATAGCATCATGCAGAGGTCCCCCCAGCTCATCCTTGATTGCCTGTTCGATTGTCCGTCCTGAGACATTCTTGTACTCATCAAACACAAGTCTCAGTTGTTCATAGCTTTCGTGCGCCATAATCTTATTAAAAACTTCCTCATTGGTGCCCAGTTTTGCTTCTCCTGTTAAAAGATATAAAAATTTAACATGGTAAAAAACTACTGAGATATAAATCACTTTACAAAAAGAAAGTTGGCAAAGAAATTGTAGGTATTGCTCTTCTTAGTCTTATCTGGCTGTCTGTGGTAAATACTGTACCAGTTTAGCTTATTTCTTTGCATGGGGGCTTTTTCATAAAAGTAACTGAGACAAAAACTCAATTAAGACTCTGAGCTTTATTTCTAGGTTGGAGAACTCCACTAAAAATATCAAATATTTTAAAAAATGTCCTCATTAAATAAGTTTTAAAACGACGTATAACAACCTTTAACTATCACATTTCATAGTGAAATTCATTCATCATTGTGAAAAAAACTGTGTTGTTTTTTTAAGTTTTTAAATCTTAGTAATTAACCTTTTACCCTCTTCCCGCTTGATCTAGGAATCTCAATAAGCATTATTCAATTACTATTATAGTCTGGGCGTCAGCTAGGGGGACCTGGAAATTTGGGTGGACAAAGGTTTTTTGACTGATTCTGATTCAGTTTTTTGCGCTGATTACGAATCTGCCGGGTGCCACCTTGGCACCCTTGGGCAAACGCTGCCATATTGGAAAAATGGCGGCCAAAATTGGTTTTTCGATAAATACTCGAAAACGGTTAGTTTTAGAGATATTTATGTGGAGACATAAAATGTAGAGCGTAAAATTCTACACAAAAACGATATCTGCACATTTTCTTGTAAACCTAACGGTTTAAGCACAATTTTGTGAAATTGAAGTTATTATTAACATAAAGTTGTAATTTAGTGTCAATGCCAATGACATATTACATTTAATCTTAAAAATAACAGAATTATATTATGCAATACACATTTTTACAAGTAACCTTTGTTATAAATAGTTCTTATTATTGCCTTCAAAGGCCACCCCCCCTCCCCCCACCTACCACACTTGCCCCTTACCAAATACACTGCACATTCTCGTATTGCCTCAATCTGCAGGTACAGCGAGAATCTCCCGGTTTATTTTAAGCAACTATTACAGCACATTACTTGATAGTTACTTATTGGTGTGATAAAAAAAGAAAAATGCATGTACAGTTACAAATTTATATTTAAGTTAAATTAAATAATGAAGTTACATACAACTGAGAAACCATGAAAATACTGTCAAAGACTTATATGTCATTGTAAGAAATGTCTTCTTCCTGAAGCAGCTCATTTCTTATTCTAGTTTGTTGGTTCAGACACTCTTTGCCATAGCATTTGCAAAATATTGTGCAAGGCAGTTTCCCAGAACAAGAACACTTGGTAGATGAACAAGGTTTTTGAGAACTACAGTTGCACTTTATAATGTTTAGGACTTCAGCTGGAGCAACCTCAATGCCTTTGGGCAAGGCGATGGGTTTCAAACTCTTCATCTTTTTGTCTTTTTCCCATCCGAACATTGTAGGATCGATGTTAGGAGGGTCAGAATCATCAACTGAATACCAATGCATTACCTGAAGATGGGCTCGTTTCATATTCTCAATAAATGCCTCCGTTGTAGGGGGAAGTGACTTAAGGGGTGGAGCAGTAGTTCTAATGCTGCCAGTCCTCCTTGCCCAAACAGCAACACGAACATCAGACATAGTGGTTGCAGTCCTTACTCCATAACAGGCTGCTATTAGCGTAGTTCCTTCCTTTACAATCTGCTCTGTACTAGCTCCGTCTTTACCAAAACTGTCAAAAGATATTTCATTCAGGTTCTTTAGAACAGTAGCTTTACCTAGGCCATACAAATAAGGCACAGTGTCGCAACCAGATACCGCATGCGCACATAATAGTTTAGGAATAACCAATTCATGGGTTTGAACAGTTTTCCCAATATCGATCGTTTGTCTCTCGTGTTTGGTTGGTAGATGTTTGGTACAGTTCACATGTCATTATTTTCATTTTATAATAGTGACAGAGTAAAAGAAATACATCTGTATCGTCACATATTACCATTATTCGCTTAGTGTCAGGTAGCTTTGCAGCACTAATTACCTGTTGAACCATTATTACATCAGCCTCCTCGTGCGTTGATTTTAAATGAGTCAGTGGAATAACGGTACCCTGGCATATTGACAATGGTACTGGGTCTCTACCAGTTACATTCAATTGGTGGTTCAATTTAGCAACCCTGCATTTTGTAACAATTTCTTGGCAAAGTAGATCAATAAGTTGGACCTTGTTGTTCTCATTGTTAAGAACCACATTCTTTGGAGGGAGAACTGTGTTCAAATGAAGTTGGAAGTTCTTACATACACCTTTCTTTCTTGATTGTCTTGTTGCAGATTTAATGCTAAAATCAAAATACCTATCAAAGACAAGTATACATTGCTATGTTCAAGGTACTGGTATATATAGTCATAAATGTTGCTTATCAAGTCTTGAACAGTGCCTGAAGATGGCCAATTGACAACCCACATTATCGCACACCCGTCAATTACTACAACATCTGCAGGGTTGATTAATCTAGTAGAAGTCAGGCAAGCAAGCTTTTCTTTTAACACGCTTTTTTTACCACATGTTCGCATGTTTCCGTTGTTTTCAAACATACTACACGGGACTGGTGAAAGCTCGTAGCGCAAAACTTGTTCAATTGATAGGTCGCGTGATAAGAGCAATGCACTTACACGGCTGTAGATAAGAGCAGTGTCAAATACAACAGTTTCGCCGATTTTAACCCCATTTTTCATAGATTGCATTGTTATAACTTTGTGTTTCAAAGGCGTGTAAAAACCATCTGGTAAACTTTCTTTGAAATCTTTTAGTCCTATTTCACCCAATTCCAAGGCATTGTCCACATTAACCTTATCTGGTGCAATAGATCCAGTGACAATGTTGACTAGTCCGTTGGGATGTTCATCCGAGTGAAGAGGGTGAATACACGTTTGTAGTTTGTTACGTATTTTCTGTCGATCCTCTAAGTCTGATTTAATTCTAGACTTGTTTTCTTCCTTGTGTTGAGTTGCGTCAATTGTGTTGCTACTACTTTTTAAATCACCAACACCTTTTACTAATTGGCTTACTGTGTGAAGGCTAAGGGCCCAAGTGTTTACTGTTTTTGGTTGTGTTGTTATACCAATCAAACCACCTGCACCTTTCCCGTATCTCATATAAGTTGTCTCTATGAACATATCAGACCACATGCCGTTCCAAATCCCTTTTTGATGCCTCATTACAAAATTTCCATTTTCCATCATATTTCTATGAAGGTCTTTTGGTAAACTTGACATTTGGTTTACATATACGACAGCAGACCGCAAATAATTCCAATGGCCTGCACTGTAGAAATACTTCAGCATTGACTCAGCAGCCCAAAGATGCAAAGGCCAATTTCCTTCTCTTTCTGCTCTAATGAACAGCATCATAATGAATACTGGCTTAATAAGGCAATCATACCACAAACGTGTTGTTTTACTTTGGATAGCTCTTTCATCCAAAACTTTGATTAAGTCTTCATAACTTTCCACAGAATCTGTTTCAAGAATAGATCGCAACGTTTCTTCAGCTACGAGCCTGAGAGCTCTGACGTTCTGAGGAAACCTCTTCCCTAGTAACATTTGGTTTACTCCTCCAAATGCTGACTGCATTATCTCCACTAGACCTGTTTCCCCCATCAGTTTGCCAACACATCCAACAAATGACATTAGCATGTGCATGCCACCTAATCTGGGGACAAAATGTTTGAACTGGGAAGGATATGCCCATTGGATTCCCACAGTTATTGTATATTTGTTGGTCATTAGTAAACACTGTATATTCTTGACCAGTCAAGCCAGTTAATCTTTTAACCTCGTACATTGATGTTATTACAGTGTCTGGATCAGATGGGGTCATGTCAATAAGAGGTGTGTAAATAGCATTTGTTTGAGGCATTACTTGACAGTGTGTTAGGCGTTTTTCTCTTGTGTTGTAACCACTGTATTCCGGTGTCTCAAGTGGATTTAACGTAATTGACTTTAAAAAGCTGAAATCTGATTGACTGCCTTCCCAAACAGAAAATGCCTGTGATGCAAGAAATGCTAATGATTGCACAGTTTTTAAGCTTGCAGATTTTGGCATTGGAGGTTTTTTAGGACCTTTATATCTATAGATCTTTACAGGGTTGCCCAGAGTGTCCTTCATAGATTTATTACTTAACCTTGGTATATCTGGATTGGTATTAGAGTTGTCACTTGATGTTTCAACTTGAGTCATAAGTAGAGCCATGCTGTGGGTTTGGCGCAAGCAATTCTGTGTAGATAAGGATGTGTCAAAATTGTCACCAACAGCTTGCACAAATCCATCTTTGCAGTCTCTTAAACCCCTTAACATTGGATTTTTACTAGCTGCAGCAGCCGCTGATGCTTTAAACCGCCGAGCTTCACTGTATGTACATGTTACACCAAATTTGTGTAGTTCATTTATCAGTTTCTTCTTATTTAGAAGTAATGATAATGATATTTGAAGTGTGGTGCTTTGTTTAGTCAATATAGAAGAAACAATATTACCTATCATCAAGGAAGGTAGACCGGTTATACCAAGCTCTTTTAAAAATGACAATGTCTTGCTGATATTAGATTCAACGGTATCATAATTTAATTTGGTTTCATAACTGTCTCTGTTAACTGTGCGTGATACAGTTTCTGATTCAATTTTCTTCACTACGTTTCCAAAACTACATTCTTCGTCTTCGTCAGATAATGTCAGTTTCATCGCAAATGGCATTTGATTTTTAAAAGCAACGATGTTAGCATTTCCAGGAGAAGATAACACAATCAAGCTAGGTCCAACTAAATCTGTAATTTTTTTTACCAGAGTTTTACGTGTTATGTTTGACCCCCCCTGGCATTTATATAAATCAAAAAGCTCTATTGAGTTCCAAACGCGTGATGGGTCTTCTTTCATTATATTTATAATTGATTTCAAAATTGTATCTTCACAACTAAGATTTGTGTTTGTGTAGCTTATTGGTCTTTGTTTTTGGTGCAAAAAAGCATTATGGCAATCCCTATGATAACGTGCATCAGCTGCATGTAGATCTCCAATAACGCCATTGATTCTAACTTTAATTTTATTGGAAAAATCATCTTGCCTTAACTCACACTTTTCTAAAATTAATTGTTGTAGAGTGGGCTTGTTCGGTCTATCAACAGTTCGGATTTGAGAATATGGCCGCCATCGGTCGGGATGTTTGGGATCAATTTCTAAACATTTTTCTCCACAGTACAGGCAATTTAGTTTAAAATCAAAGCTCTGTATATCTGACCTTTTCAAACGCTTAGGTGGTGGAGGAACTACGGACGGGCTAATGTTTTTAACTGCACGCTGTATGTGGGTCTTTGACGTGTATGAGGAAACACAAGATTTATGAAAATAAACGGGTACATTTTCATCCAAGTTTGTGAACAAATTATCTTGTCGTTCAGTACTAGCTGATTTTATTGATCGGACTCTTACAGGGCCTCCACTTATTAACTGTCCATTTTTTCCGCAGTTAAAAAGGCAAGACTCTTCCCTTTGAGGTAAATTTTCATCCTCTAATGCACTTCTATTTTCTGTCATTATCGTACGGTTTTCAATTCATTGTTCCAATCTAGAACATAACACATCAATTAGCGTTAATAAAGTTTAATTAACATGTTGTTTAAACATTTAATAACATTTTTAAAGACGTTTTACAAACATATACTGTGCCGGATCTAGGGGTTTTTCGTCGGGGTTGGCGTTATTGGGGGGAGGGGGGGAGCAAAGGTAAAGTTTCGCCACACCATACTATGTATACTTTTAAATAGAAAATCATTCGGTATAATAATCGATATGTTTTTATTTTCCAATTTCAGGTATATGCCTATAATAATAAATAATGTATCATAATGGAACCTAACATTATTAACTAATATTACTATGCTAACTAATATTACAGCTTGCCAATTAAATACCTAAAAGAGTAAAAAGTAAGTAGTATTATCATTGTATTTATCTAGGCCTATAGCTAGACCTATGCAGTTGACAGGTAAAGCACGGTTATAAGCACGGTAAAGAAATGACATGATGCATTAACATAAAAGTCTAATTTTAAGATAACTTACCTTAGTAATTTCGAACCAAAGTATCCATTATATCCAATATCCAACTACCGGCACATATAAACTTGTACACCAAGCAAACTATCACAACTGTATTAGACACTTTATTGTAGACTGATTGCGCCACTGCACCCGCCAGTGACTCACGCAGACAGAAATAGCATCAAGAGGCCACGGGGGTGGGTTACTGAGGGGTGCTGGTTGGCAGTAACAAATTACTTTTAATAAAGGTTACTTGTACAAATGTGTATTACATAATATAATTCTGTTTTTTTGAAGAACGAATGTAATATGTCATTGGAATTGACACTAAATTACAACTTTATGTTAATAATAACCTCTATTTAAAAAAATTGTACTTAAACCGTGAGGTTTACAAAAAAATGTGCAGATATCATTTTTGTGTAAAATTTTACGCTCTACATTTTATGTCTCCACATAAATATTTCTAAAACTAACCGTTTTCGAGTATTTATCGAAAAACCAATTTTGGCCGCCATTTTTCCAATATGGCGGCGTTTGCCCAAGGGTGCCAAGGTGGCACCCGGCAGATTCGTAATCAGCGCAAAAAACTGAATCAGAATCAATCAAAAAACCTTTGTCCACCCAAATTTCCAGGTCATCGTGAATTACAATGGGTCGACGCCCAGACTATTATCATGTAGGTTTCACTCACCATTTTAATAAACATTTATGACCAGACAACAATGATCATCCATTATTATATGATGGGTATGCCTGTTCTAATTTTGGTATGCGTATATGATTGTGACCTCTGGGGACATCAAGACAAAAAAGCAAAACGGTCCTGGATCTTACCATGAGACTTACGGTAATAGCTTATTCCCTAACTGGGAATTTTTTTTTAACAAAAGTTACTTACAAAGGTGTATCTTAGACATTTTAATGTTGTCTTCACAATTAAAATATGACCTGTAAGTAAAAAAAAAAATGCATTGAAGTTATTCTGGAAGTTTAGTTAGCTTAAGTTTTAAGGATACAATAATATTATTAAGAACCACTAATTACCTGCAGCATAAAGAGCCTCAGCTTGTTCCTTAGCCTTCTCTGGAGTGACATGACCGGGAGGATTCCTCACAGCCTACACAATGGACAAAATATGTTTAGGTAAAATTAACTAAATAGGTATACAGTAGACTCCCTCTTATCCGGACACCTTTTAACCGGACATCGGTTTACAATACAATACAATACAATACAATATTCTTTATTGATAATTCGTTAAGAATTACAATAGTGTCAATACAATAGTGAATTGTTCATGTTAATTTCCATAATTTTCATAAAATTCCTTTATTGACTAGAAGGGTCTTGCGATTAGCCACTTCTTCAACTCCTGGTGTAGCTTGTTGCCAGTCAGGTCTCTCAGGTAGTCAGGTAGATGGTTCCTCAGCTTGCAGCCGGTGTAGGAAGGTTTTTTCTCCCAAAGAGTTGTTCGGTGAACTGGTAGTGCAAATTTGGAGCCATGACGGGTGTTGTAGTGGTGCAGGTCTTGGTTTCTTGGGGGGTTTATTCCATTCACATACTTTATTATGGTTTCAAGTATGTAGAGAGACACCACTGTGAGGATTCCTAGGTTTGCGAATGCTAATCTGCAAGTCTGTGGTGGGACAAGGTTGGCGAGGGCTCTTATGGCTTTCTTTTGAAGGACAAGAATTCGATTCATATTTTTTGTTGAAGTTCCTCCCCACACTGTCAAGCCATATCTAAGATGCGACTCTACCAGTGCGAAATAAGCCGTTTTGGCCACAGAGAAAACAAACAAGAGGAGGTTTGCCTATGTAGTTTATTCTTCTGACGACTGTAATGAGAGTAAGAATGAATGAAAAAGAACTTTTATTACCTTTAGAAAGGTTTTTAATAACTTGAACAATATTACATTGAATTATAATGGACTTGTTTACAAACACAACAAAACAATAATAAAGAATTGAAGACACATGTTATTAAAACGTTTTTATTAGGTCGCTTTCTTGTCCGCTACAAATTTTGTAACCGATTTTATACTAAATTCCCGATGAGCTAGGGACTTGAAACTTGAAACATATCTCACAAATGGAAGACAATGCAATATTATACAATTTAATTTTCATATTTCCCTTGGGCTACGCCCCATGGGCTTGTTTTTATTAAATCGATTTCTTGCAAATTTTGATACTTCCCGATGAGCTAGAGACTTGAAATTTGAAACATAGCTCACAAATGGATGACATTGCAATATTACATCATTTAATTTTCATATTTCCTTTCGGGCTACGCCCCATGGGCTCGTTTTTATTAGCTCGCTTTCCTACAAATTTTGATATCAATTTTAAACGATGTAACCGATAAGCTAGAGCCTTGAAATTTGAAACATAGCTCACAAATGCATGACAATGTGATATTATATCATTTAATTTTCATATTTCCCTTGGGCTACGCCCCATGGGCTTCCAAATTTTTCATGTTTGTATTTTGAAAGGATGTAAATATATCAACTAATTTATGTCAGCTGTAAATACTTAAATTTGACAGTTCAAAATAAGAGGTACAGGTTCTGATCCCAAGAGATTCTTTATACAAACAAACATTTCAAAATAAAGATAAACAATCTGATTGCAGATATAAAGGAGTTTGTTAATAATGTCATTTGTTATTTATTTAGTATTCTATAAAGTAAACAATGAATCAAATAGATTGATATATTTATAGTTAGTAGGTAGGCCATACATGCAATCTAATACATAATTATATGCAAAGAAACTCAAATAAACCTTAGATTTCCCACATGCCTCTGTCTTAATCTGATATAGACGCTTGAAATAGATTGAACATGCACACACATTAAAACTAAATACCCCCGCCGCAGCAAACCTGCAGACTAAGCGAATTTCCATTTGACTGATTTGATTTACACTGAAATGTCTACTTAAAAATATAACATTTATTCCCGATTTAAATAGAATTAGTTTAACAAGTACTTAGGTTTGCTGCATCAGGGAGAGTAAAACTTTTTTTTTGTAAAATGTTAATAGTTAGTAAGAAATAAAAACATTTTCCAAATTTGATCAAAATATGTTCATAAACATGGGAATTTTAAATTTAAAATTTTTTGGAATTTTCTCCGTAACCATTAGGCGCATAATAACGCTTCAATATACTAAATTATTTGTTTTTTTAAGCTCTACAAAATGGTTTGGAAAGAAATTGCTAAATTTTATGTTTTTGGGTCAAAAATGGGAAAAACCTATTTTTACCCAATAAAACCCCCCGTAAACCCCCGTTTCCATGGTCCGATCATGCTGGATCGCGAACTCGTTTGAATAAACGTAGGTTTACACGTTTGTACCAAATTTCATTAAAATCGGATCATTTTTGCTCGAGTTATCGTGCTAACGGACACATATATATATAAATATATATATATATGTATATATGAATTTGAATGGATGGTGTTTTTGGCCTCTAGGGACCTCAAAACGAAAAAAAAAATCGGGCCCGCGTCCAGGTCTTACCATGAGTACTACGGTAATAGCTTATTCCCTATATGGGAAATTCGCTAAAAGTATAAAATAATTTATAAATAAAAAACTTTTTTAAACAAAACGTTTTTAAACGCCCTAAAAAGTAGAAAATAATTTACAAATAATTTATAAATATGTTGAGAGAGTATAAATACTTGTACGATTTAAAACGAAAAACGTGGGGCGCATGCAATAGATAGTTTACAATTACCTTCACCAACTGAACTAATGTATTATTATCAATTAATTGCATGCACCCAACGTTTTTCGTTTTAAATCGTACAAGTATTTATACTCTCTCAACATATTTATAAATTATTTGTAAATTATTTTCTACTTTTTAGGGCGTTTAAAAACATTTTGTTTAAAAAAGTTTTTTATTTATAAATTATTTTTACTACATTCTTCCTCCCTAATGTTAATGAACGTAGTCATTTAAATAATTAGGAGGTCCTCTGCTTCTGAAACTTCTTCTCGGATATGTGTTATGGTTCTCTCCTCTAGAAGCTTCTTGTCTAGGTTGTAAATTTTCGGCAGTAGTATTCATTTCATCTTCTTGGTTCTGTGTTTATGATGGACTAGGAAAGTATTCAGGTTCAGGTTGAGAAGTGGGTAATAGAATATTTTCATCACTCTCAAAATCGGTTTGCTCTATGTCGGTTTGGTACTCACCAACCGGAGCAAGATGACGTGTAGACACGGTAGTTTATCTTCCATCAGGCAACTTTAACATGAGCATACTCGGCATTCCCGTGAAGAAGTTGGTCCTCTTCAACAAGTGGCTCATACTTGGACGTACGATTGAATCTCTTCAAGTAGACAGGGCTGGAATTGAGAAGCCATGAAGGAGCTGAAACACCATTGTTCCCAGATCTACGTGGATGTAAGAACATACGCTCGTGAGGAGTTTGATTTGTGGCTGTGCAAAGTAATGATCTCATTGAGCTGAGGGCATCCTATAAAACTGTCTCCCATTGGTTTATTTCTAAGTTAAGTGATTTCAACGCCAGTTCAATTGTTTTCCATAGAATGCCGTTATACCTTTCAACTTGCCCATTACCTGCTGGATTGTAAGCAGTGGTTCTACTAGTTGAGATTCCAAGTGAGTTCAAGTAGCTTTTTAAGTCTTGGCTCAGAAATGATGTTCCTCTGTCAAATGTATGTAACTAGGAACCCCAAAAGTAGAAAATAATGTTTTTAGTTTCGACTTAACTGTTGACGATGACATGTCTGAACAAGGGAAAGCGAAAGGGAACCGTGAAAACTCGTCTACTATTACTAATAAGTAACGGTTTCGACTTGATGAAGGCAGCGGGCCTTTGAAATCGATATTCAGTCGTTCAAATGCAGAAGTGGCTTCAATCAAAATCCCTTTGTGTTTGAAGAATCTAGGCTTCACAGCAGCACATACATTGCAGGAGTTTGTTATTCGTCTGATTTCATCAATCGAGTAGGGCAAGTTTTTACTTTGAACCCAGTGGTACAAACGTGTCACACCTGGATGACATAGATTCGCATGTAAATCAATCAACAGTTTTTCTTGATTTTTGTTGGAAATATCGTCTAAAATAACAAGTCGTCTTGTGGATCAAAAATTAAGTTAATTTAATAGTAAAACTGATAGAATGAAAAACTTAGATTTGTGTATACATCTTACTTCATCAAAATATAACAAACAACTAAACTCTGTTGCCAAGGAAACATCATATGTTCTTTTCTAACATAACTATTATGGACATTATAATATGAATAAATTACATCTTTAACACACCCCCGTAATGTCCATAATACATTTTAGAAAAATAAGTTTTAGTTAAGAGATCACCATCCCAATGAAAGTTTTCATTTTAACATGTTTCAATGATGATAAGCCCTTTGTTAAAATATCAGAGGTTTGTTCTTCTGTTGGAATGTATCTGACAGTGATCTGTTTCCCAGAGACCAACTGTCGAACATAATGGTATCGAGTCTCAATATGTTTAGAGCGATCGTGGAACATTGGATTGTTCATAAGTTTAATCACACTTTGATTGTCCACATGTAGTATAGGAATAGACTTTTCTTCAATTGCGCCAATCTCTTTCACAAGACGAAGGGATTTACAGGTCTCGCTAGCGGCAACATATTCTGCTTCCATTGAAGATTGGGAAACACACCGTTGAAGCTTACTCTTCCAAATAGTCTCATCAAGATTGCCATTCAAAAATGCTGTTTTAACATCAAACTGTTTGATAGCAAGATTGTACTGAACTGAATAGCCTAACATAGTTCGCATCGTCTTAAACCGAGCTACAGGGCTGAAAGTGTCACCATAATCAATACCAGGACGCTGAGTAAATCCTTTTGCGACCAAACGCGCCTTGTAACGAATGATCTCGTTCTCAGAATTTGTTTTTAGTGCAAATACCCAGCGATTATCGATGACTTTTCTTCCTTTTGGTTGATCAACCAAATCATAAGTTTTATTTTTTATTAATGAATTTATTTCTTCATCCATAGCGGATTTCCAATCGACGACATGCTCAGATCTAATTGCTTCATCATAATTTTCCGGTACTTCGTTTGTAAGTATTGCAGA